ACATGATCACAGGAAGTTTAAAAAATTGTCATTTAAATTTACAATCTTGTTTTTACTATGAGAAGAAATATTAATAAAAGACTTTTAAGTCTAAAATATATGAAGGTAAAATTCAGTTTAAAAAGTAGACTTTAAGAAGATACAGGAAAAAAGAAAAAGTAACACTGAAAAATTTTATTCTGTTGATGTACCTAATTTAGCATTTTCTAAGTAGTTGTTGGTGAGTTTTAAATTACTGTGCTACTTACATTCCATTGGAAACATTTAACGAGATGATGTAATCATTTCATTTAAAAAGATCATATTCACCACATACTGAACAGATATTATTTTCAACTTTTTAAACTTAGGCTGAAAATTTTGGATGGCAATTTAAAAAATATGGCAGAGGGTGTACTTGTACAAAATTCTCTTAGATGTGCAACAAGGAAAAAAGTTTAAAGAACACTGGTCTAATTTCATAAAATATGCTTATCTTCAACTTTACAAAATAATGCCAGGCTGCATAGATACACATATCGGCATGTTGGAATAATTCTTTTTTTCCTGTATCCTCACCAGGATTTGGAATTTTCAGATTTTAACACTCCCACCTTCCTTTTCTTAAACCCATGTGGATGTGTATACACTGGTTTCTCATTGTGCTTTTAATTTGGATTTCCCTGGTTAATAAATAGACTGAGCATCTTTTTTCATATGTTTATCACCATAAGGGTTTCCTTTTCTGTAGGGTGCCTATTCAAGCTTTTGCCCATTTTTTTTCCTTTGAGTAGTTTGTGTTTTTCTAATTGCTTTGAAATAATTCTTAACATATTCTGGTTACTAACTGTTTTTCAGTTATATGTATAGAAGATACTTTCAGTTCATGAGTTGTATTTTTATTCTTTATAGTGTTATGTGATAGACAAAAAGTTTGAGTGATTTCTTTGTATCTTAAGAAAGTTTTCTACTTCAAAATCATAAAAATTATATTGTCAGCTAAAACTTTCCCTTTCACATTTCTTTAATCAATCTGGAATTGTATGCATTCAATTTCATTTTTTATGTAGATAATTATTATAGCTCCAATTATTTGAAAACACCATCATTTATTTATTTATTATTTATTTATTTTTTGGCTGCATTGGGTTGCTGCGCTGGCTTTCTCTAGTTGTGGCGAGCGGGAGCTACTCTTCTTTGCGGTACACGGGCTTCTCATTGCGGTGGCTTCTCTTGCTGTGGAGCACGAGCTCTAGGCATGCAGGCTTCAGTAGCTGTGGCACGTGGACTCAGTAGTTGTGGCTCATGTGCTCTAGACCGCAGACTCAGTAGTTGTGGCACATGGGCTTAGTTGCTCTGCAGCATGTGGGATCTTCCTGGACCAGGGATAGAACCCATATCCCCTGCATTGGCAGGTGAATTCTTAACCACTGCACCACCAGGGAAGTCCCCGACATCATTTATTTGCTCATTGCTCTAAAGTGCCAACTCTGCTATAAATCAACTTTCCGTTTACATATGTATAGGCCTGTGTCTGGGCTCTCTATCGTTTTATAGAATAACTTGTCACTCCCTGTGTAGCAGAAACTATGTTTTCAGTTCATCAAGCCCATTTACTTCTGGGCACACTGTGCTACCATATTTCCCAGCCCCTCTTACAATTGAATGCGACCATGTGACTGAGTTCTACAGGGGATGTAGACAGAAGTTATGTACGTCACTTCCACAACTAGCCCCCAAGTTTCCCATGAGATCCTTCACAGTCTCTCTCATCTCTTGCCTGTGGCAGGTGTGGAGGACCCAGTGGAGTATTGCGAGTCTATTGTCAATGGCAGAGTCTAGGCAGGAGTCCGGGGTTCTGAAAATCTGCATGATTCTCCTCCCAGCTTGTCACCGTGTATCTGTCCCTCCTCATCTGCCACCGACGTGCCTTGGACTTTTGTTTTTATTCTCATCACTTGTTTAAACCAATATAGGTAATTGAGACCTGAGTGCAATAGACTTAAGATTTTTATACTTTGTACATCCTTCCGGTATGCACATGGGAAAACTGTGAATAGTGCGACATGATGCTGACTCCATGAGGATATAGATTACATCACTGGCAAAATAGAATCAGGATATTGAATCCATTTCCATAAAATTATACTATCTTTCTATTAATAAGAGGAAAATAAGACATCTCATCTTTCAGGAGGCCATCACACACTCTAGCTAACAGTTTATTCCCCATTGAAATAGATAAGGGAGAGATCACACCTTTTTTTGAAGGTACATGAGAAAGTAACTAGGTCAACTACAAAAGATAGGTGTGAAGGTGCCAGGATTGAAATGCATATTTTTTAAATATTTGGAAACTTTTTAAATTCTAAGCACAGCTCTGCTCCAGTGAATGGTGAATACTGTCAATAGTTGCCTACTTTTTTTCTACCTGGAAAGAAATCACATTAAGAATTTTTTCTTTGAATTTAAGGGCAAATGTTTGACGTCATTTTTACAGTCCTTTGGTGATGTGGGTAAGATGTCTGTGTTGCCTTCATGCATTTGGAGAAAGCATAGTGAGCACAGCTCCTGGAGTTGGCTGTTTTATACTCCGTATCTCCTGCATAACTTGGTGACTTTGGGCAAGTTACTTAACCTCTCTGAGTCTGATCATTTATCCATAAAATGGAGATGCCAGTGGTCTCATTCCATAGGGCTGTTATGAGGAGTACACAAGATGGTTTATGTAAAGCACCTAGAACAGTGCCTAGACGTAGCAAGTTTTATTAAATGTGGGTTAGGTAGTGTGAGAAATCTGAGCTAATGACAAATTTGAGGAGACAGAAAAGATAGGTGGACAAGGTTAAAAATTCAAATTGATGAATGATTGTGGAATTATAAAGATATGTTGCTCTAATAGAATATTCTGGTAAAAATTAAAATGAATACTGATCTTACAATCTGATATATTTGCATTTGGCCATTAGGAAAACTACAGAAAAAGCCTTTACACAATGAGTATTTTTTTCAAAGGCAGTTGCTAAAGGAGCTCAAATTATTGTCTTCCAGTGAAAAATATTATTGTATTTGAAAAATTATGAAGCAAATGACTCTTTATTGATACATAAGCACATGCAGTATACAACTGGAATAGTATAATGAAGGGTACAAATAGCCTTTGTCAAAAAGGAGATAATTGTTCTGTCACCTTCCCTCAAATATTGTCAAATATATTTTAGGGTGATCATTGCATAAACTCAGAAAAGACAAAGAGGACAAGAAACTTAAAAATATATGATGCTTTATTGTCAAAAATAGACAAACTTTAATTTCCTTTAACAGGAATATTAACTTAAGAGTCTCTATAAGTCACCACTATTTTGTGAGTGTAAAAGACAAGACAGTCAAAGACAACTGTTAGTAGAAAAAGGACAACAGTTTTACATCATGCCAGAGACTCGACAGCCACAGAATTACAGTGACCTTCAGAGCCCTGGACAATAATAGACATGCAAAACAAGCTCGACTTATCCTGGCCCAGTCCTGTAAGATTGGCTTTGTGGTATCTTTCCAAGCATTTGAAGAGTTCAATTTGTTAGAACACTTACTGATTTGAATAGTGAAATTTTAGGGCATTTATGGGAATAGGATCACACCTGCTTTTGAATTACACCAGGATGAAGCCATGGTCTCTACAACCCTGGCCTCAGGTATGTAAAGTGGTGCTAAGGAGACCTGAATAAGCTCCTTATCCAGGACCTACAGCAAGGATGTGAAGGTCTTCCTGGATGAACATTATAATGTGTTGGCTATGTTCTCTCATTAACATAAAAAAAGATAAAGATCTAGCTAGTTGGAACAAGAGAAAAATAAGGCCTTTATTGTTCCCTAGGGACAGGTAGGTATCCAAGGATGAAGAAAGCTGGATGTGTGCACTGGTTATCTAGATCATGACTTTCATTCTCTAGTCTGTACTATAAACCAGATACCCATGGTCAAAGGAGACTTTGTAAATAGACCCATCTTAATAATTAAAAGTGGTAGTGTGCAGCTATCTCCTTTGAAGATTCAGGTTAAGGCGAGTTCCTTTAGCTTTCAGGAGAGGCCAAGGATGAGATGACACTGACATGATGAGATGGTCCATCTGAGATCAAGTGTAAAAGCAAAAAGAAGCTAGATTATCAAGTGAATGAGAAAGGAACTGGAACTCACTTCCTGTCCTTATACACATTCACCATTCACTCAATGGAAAAGTAATCAACTTCATGCAAAAAAATCAGCATTTTCCATTTTTCTAGTTTAAAGGTAAAATTCAATACTTAAGCACTAGAAAAACTGAGCTTATAGTGTACCATAAAGTTATTTAAAAGAATACTGTCGTTACTGAAATGGTAGCTCAAGCTTTTGCCACCTCTTTGAAACAGAAGAGCGGAGAGGACGCAGAGAGACAGAGAAGTATGTAACTCTGTTCTTACTGTGACATTCCTTATTCACATTTGCGTGGGGTTAAGTTTTAATTAAGCTCACCTACTTAATTCTATCCTCCTGTATAAGAACATGTGAGTAGGGGCAGGAAATGGGTGGTATGAGCTTTTGCAAGTTTTGATGGGCTAAGCATCATTCAGTTAAGATTCTGTGATTGAAAGGATCACTCTGAAAACTTACAGAAAAAAAGCCATATGAAAATCAGACAAGGCAAAGTGGGTTTATACAGTCTAGTAACAAGACTACCTGGAAAACTTGTGGAGTCAAATAAAAAACTAAAGTGGATTGCTTCTTTTTTTTTTCCTTATTCCATTCCATTCCATTTTGTAAAAACTGTGATAAATGTAGACAATGTACTCTCTTGTGGGTCATTTTTCAAAAGTCCCCAGATAAGCCCTTAAGTTGGGGTGGCCGTGAATATGAAATAGAAAGAAGATGAACTGAGTTTGGGGTTTCCTACCAAGAGCAGGCACGGCAAACTACAATGACTTTATTGGAGCGCTGCGAAGTTCTATTACCCAGTCATAAAAAGGACCCTTTCCAGTGCCTCCCTTTCAGCACTCTTCAATGACTGTTGTACCAATCAAGGAGTAAAGCTTTTTCTTAACAAGTCGGAATCCTGAGCTCAGGATCAGAGTTCGCCTGAGGCCAGAAGAGAAGCGACCTCGACTAAAGAAAAAATCCCTGAAGCTCGTCCATGAGCAGTTCTCCTGCTTAAACACCAGGGTAAGCTCAAAGGTGGGCACCACGCTAGAATCACACACAATCCTATCCAGCTTTTTACATACATTTTCAATTTCCAAGTTCACGTGCATAACGCAGCCCCGCAGGCCGCAGGGCTCGGTGGAGGAAAGCCGCAGGACGTCTTGAGCAATCCTCTGGGTCAGTTTCTCAGGAACAAGGACTTTCGAGCAACCGAGTTTGGTGTGCTTTGATTTGGACAGACAGTTCTCCAGCATTTTAACCAAGCTCTGGCAAGTCGTCTCCTCAAATATCACCTCGTTGAGGTTGGGTTCAGGAACAACATAATCCCAGTAGTCAAAATCTGTGGAAAATGGAAGTTTAAGATTAAAAAAAGAAAAATCCAGGAGCAGAAAAAAACACACTGAGATATAGCAACATTGTTTATTTCTTCTATCTGTTACAGCTACTTGTTCTAATATTTGTTTGGAAGTCAGCTGATCTCACTCTGCTGTTAACTCGCTGGGTAATAAAGCAAATCATTTAACCTGAGACTGAAAGTTCACCTATGAAATAAAGGTTTTGATAAATAAGGTGGGTAGGCTATAAACATTTTTTAAAAAATTTATATGTGTACACACACACACAAAATCTGACTACGCATCACAAATCTATTTATGGTTATCTTAGAACACTAGTGATTTTCTTTTCTTTCTTGCTCCCTGATTTGCTTATGGGGGTTTTCTAATTTTCTTTTACAGAGACTATGCATTAGTTCTGGAATGAAAATGTTAATAATTTTTCTTGACTAAGGATTATTACCTAACTCTAAGAATACATTCATTTATTATTGTAAAAAACAGAGTTTTTGCTGTTGTCCTTTAGTGATGAACTTAAAATGAACTTTGATGAGTTATATTAAACATCAATTAAATTTGTGTTTTCTTTGTAAGTCTTTACTGGAATAACCTGTAGATCCCAATTTTAGCTTCAACCTCTTCGATTAAAAATTGCTCAAAGAGAAGACCTCTGAGGTTCACAGGGATATTTATAACTGGCTGGGTAGTTTTTTGTAGCCAAACAAAACAAAATAGTCCTAGGAAAACAAAATTAGATTTGCTCAAAGGAAAGGAGATAGCTCTGCATTTGGTCACCTACGTTCCAAATTAATCCTACCACTTGGCAGGATGCCTCACCACACACAGTCAACTAAGCAGGCACAGGCAGATGCCCTGTGGGCTCCCCACCCTAAGCCTACTGCACTTCATTGGCTACTGCATTTTCCTCTCTCCACATCACGTATAAACTTAGATCATTGCTTTTTTTTTAAACTAATTGAAACAAATGCACTCCAAATTATAAGGCTCCATATTTTATCTATGTTGAAAATAGAGAATTTTAGAGCTCTGGCCTATAAAATTAGATCATCAACCACTTTGCCTTCTAAACGAGGAAGGCCCAAAGATCTTAAGCAATTGGTGTATGACTACAACTCCTGAGTGGCAGAGCAGTGTGTTACTTTAGAAACTCCTGTTTAAAATTGCAAATGACAATATGTCCAGCATCACTGCTCTTTTAAAGTTTTCCTTTTGGCCTTAAAAAATGAAATAATGGGTATATCCACAAATAGAATACTACTCAGAAACAAAAAGGAACACATACTGCTAGAAGCAACAGCATGGATCTCAAAATCATTAGGCTGTGGGAAAGGAACCAGATACAAAAGAGTACATATTACATGCTCCATCTGCATGCAACCCTAGAGGTGAAAGTAATCTATAGGGACAAAAAGCAGATCAGTGTTTCCCTGGGGACGGGAGAGGTAGAGTGGGGAATTGATGGCAAAGGGGTACATGGGACTTTGGGGGCAGAAGGTGATGGTAGTGGTTACACAGGTGAATACATTTGTTAAAACACACATAATTGTACACTTAAAATTCACCATAACTTCACAGCCATGTAGGGTAGGGACCTGTACACTTTTTAACCCCAAAGAGTCTATTAGCCGCAGACTAGATGGATGCAGCCCTTGGGATTTTATCTTTTGCTTCTTTTGTTTCTCACCATCATTTACAGAAGATGCTAAAAGTTTGGAAAGGAGTCTCTCAGATGGATTTTGTGGCACCTCCAACATTCAAGGAGGGGGTCGACACTGCACGCCCGCCAATCCCATCTATCCAAGGGCTGCGACCTTTGGAGGGAAGAGAGGTAGGCGGTTGAGAAACTCACCATTTAGTAGGTTCCCCGGGTGGAAGCCACGGTCCAGCAACTCCGAAATGCTAGCCGGGTTCTTACTGCTCAAACTGCCCGTTGCAACCATGGTCAACGGCTCTGTTTCCCTCGCGGGGCGGAACGGCCTTTCCGGGTCGCTAGAAAGAGGAGGCAAGAAGGACAGATTTGCAAAAGCAAGCAAGACGTGCAGAGGCTCCTACAATGCCCAGAGTCCCCGGAGCGAACAAGCCGAAGTATTCCTTTTCCAAAGGGGAGGAACCGGCCTTTGCAACTCAGGTTTACAAAACTCCGGGAGCGGAGACGCCTACAGTCACAACCTGAAACTAATTCAAAGTTAGCAAAACTTGGAGCCGGCTTGCCCCGCGGAGCTCACCCCTGTGCCCGGAGCACCGGAGCCCCCAGGCCCCGCTCCTCCCACCCAGGCTCACTTGCTGGGAGTTCGCCGGGGCCGACGCGCTAGCTGGCCAAAAAGCTGCGGGTAAACCGAGGCAGGCACCGTCTTCAGGAGGCCCCTCCCTCGGGGAACTTAGGGACCTGCGGACCCAAGCGGCAATCGGCACCCCGCTCGCCCCCAGCCCACCCCGCCCCAGCTCCACTAAGCTGCCTCGCCTTTGGGGCGGCGGGCGTTTTATAGGCCCAGCCTCCTCACCCTGCCCCGGCCCGCCCACCTGCACCGCCCCGCCCCGGCCCCGGGCCCCGCCTCTCCAGGGTCCGGTTGCAACCCAGCCCCGATAGTTCCAGCAGCCCTAGGCTAGCCGCAGGGAGTTTAGGCTAAGTTTGCGGTAGGGTTGACACCTGCTGTTTCCTGGGTGGGCTGCGGGTCCCCGTGAGTGCAATTCCGGGTGCACGACTCGCCCAAAACTGACCGCTCCCCTCCGCCACCAACCAGGATTCTTTGGTGCGACCCCTCCCCTAGCGTGCGCGCACACACTCACACTCCTGATGCCCTTGTTGACTTTGTGTCCCGGGCAGCGGGAAGCTTTCGGCCTTTTGTCTATTACCGTGACCTGAGGCTTTGCTCTGTCAGACTGACCACTTTGCTTAAATCTGTGTAGATGTTCAATGGGCATCATTTCTGCGCTTAGCTCTGGCCTCTCACCGAGTCAACTCTACTCCGCGTCCTGTCCCAGGGTCTCTGTATTCTTCTCTCCCGCACGCGGTCAGCTCTAGCTTGCCTTCCCGCATCCGAGGCTCTCCAGCCTCGGGTCTTCACTGCACCCCCAGCACCCTTCGTACTGCTTCATCTATGACTAATGCGTTTTCACCGCGAGAAAGGGTGAGCCTGGTACTCTTCTAATTAGACCTGGCTCCAGAGCGCCGGCAGCTTGAATGAAGGGGAGTTTGCCAAGAAACTAAACAAAAACATTAGTGGGATTTTAGCCGCTTCCACCACCCTCCCGGGCTCTGGGAGCAGTTGTCATTCGCAAAGGCAGCAGTTCCTGGCAAGCCCAGTTAGCGGGAGGAACTTGGTCTTGGGCGATCTTGAAGGGGCTCGGGGCAATGAAGATACAAGTACAGTGTTTTATGTCCTGTAATCCCTGTGAAGCTTGATGCGCAGTCCTGAACCTGAGCCCACAGAGGGACAGAAGAGCGGCTCAGGGTCAACAGGCTCGCCCAACCCTTGTTTGGCAAGAAGCCAAACATTATGTGTTCGTCCAATGTGCCTAAGCCACCCTGTTCCCGCTTTGGTGTGCCAGTAGAGATGATCTGGTCAGAGTGAGCTTTCCCCAAAGACGGTGGTGGGTCAGCAGAGGAGAGGAAGGGGATGCCTGGAGGGAGAAGAATTTCTACAAGTAGGGGCTTCTAGGGCTGGTTCCCAATCCTTTAGGATTCTGTGTACAAGGATCTGTAGGTTAGGGCCTCGAGAAGCAGTTTCAGCTGTCCAGGCTAAAAACTCTTAGTAAGAAAAACAACAACAGAAGGGGTAAGGAAGCTGTGATAAACAGATCAGTGGGAGGACACTGGGAGGCAGAGCAGCAGAAATTAAAAGCAGCTTGACAGTCCATTTTTAACTCAACTCAGGCAGCTGCACTGCCTGAAGGTCAGGGGAGCCAAAGAAGGAGATGTGATAGGCTGGTCTTTGAAAGCAGATTTCCACCTCTACTTCAACAATAGAAAAGGGGGAAATAAGCCCTTTTAAGCCAATTAAAAAGCAATTCCAGTGGCAAATGTGTTCAGGACCAATGGATGGTCAGTCGGGTATGGCAGCTGCCTGGCAGCTGGGGGTGGGGGGCAGGCCACAGAGCCTCCTTATTTGGGTGGCAGTGCTAGTGAGGCTGCCTCTTACCTGCATCCAAGGAGAGTTATTAGGATTAATATAGTAAGTGATCTGAACCTATACCAGTGAAGGAATTACCCATCTCAATTTCCTTAGGGTATTTAGGCATAACTCATAAACTAAGTAAACCAAAGGGCCAGAAAGATTATTGTAACTTCTAGAAAGTAGCAGTTTCTCTCGGCTCACCTGAGTAACTGAAGTTTTGCAAAGCCCTCGGGGATTTTACTGCAGAAAGTAATTTACTTATTATGAAAGACTTCGAATAATATCATTCTTTTTGACTGAATGGGCCTTGCTCTGAGGAATTACAGGGCATAAGTAATGACTGATATAGAAAATGTACCTGGGATAATTAGTGGAGATTGTCCTTTTTTATCTTCTTAAAAGGGTAAAAAAATCCTTTCTATCATTGGTTTGCATCTTTGCAGGGTTAAATAAACAGAGCTGATTTTTCAAAAGGAACTATAGGACAGAATTAGGAAAAACTAAGTGCCATAATAGTCTTGTCAAAAGATGACACACTTAGTCTATCAGAGTTTTTAATGTTGTGGATACAGTTAATTATTTGTAACCAAAAGTTCATCACATTGGTGTACCCCAGGTGTTTATCAGGTGCAGTGATGAAGTATGTTTCATGGCTGTACCCCTCTAATTATCCTCTCTAATTAATACTGTAAAGACAGTTTGTAAGGCTGCTTACTGGAAATAATAGTTGTATATGAAGAGAAAATCTAATTGATTAAATAATTTTATTGCCTTTCATACACCAATGTACTATAACAAGCTACCAAAACCATGAGCAAGGACTTTAACTTAAGCATGCTTGCTTTTCTATTACTATGATTTACTCATCCACCTTCCTGCAAAAAAGGGGAATAGCAGTAACAAGTGGCAACAGTATGTTCATCTGATGTATACACAAATAAGTTCCATGCTCCCTCATGTATAAATATAGTGTTTATAATATCATTGCTTACATAAGTGCAAATTCAGAATACCAGGGATTTTGCAAAAAACAAAAGACAATATGATGCTTTGGTATACTGTTATAAGAAATACTTGTGTCTTCTGCATTTGTGATTTAGAGTGTTGAATATTTATTACATGTTTTGCCAGCCATTTTTCTCTCTTTATCCAGTACGTGCTATTGTTCCTGAGCTCTTATTAATACATTTACATTCAGTGCATTGCTTATTTCATTTCATAAACTATGACACCAGAGGAAAAAATGACTGGGTTTCTTAATCTGTACAGTGGATTCAGGGAGGATTTACAGGATGTGGAAGTTGATCTGTACAATATCCAAGGTCCCTTAGCAAGCTTATAGGGTTGTTGTGAGGATTAAAAGAGAAACCCTTATAATCAATGCTAAATATTATCTCTTTTTTAATAAACAAATCTGAGATCTTTGAGTGCACACTGTCTTTGGCTTTCCTTGGTTGTGCTAAATTTGTAAATCTAATACTCATGTGAGTCTTAGAACAGGGCCTGGTACCTAGCAAGTACTTAATGAGTGATAGTTGTCCTGATATTGTAGTTTTCTGGTTCAGTGAAAGCTAGAGGGGCTAAATGGAGTTAGAGAAGTATTGCTAGAGTAGAACACAATTTATGGTCTTTCCTGTTTGCAGGAAATCTGGAAAATATTTGCCACTGGTTAGGAAAGACGTTTTTATTAGAATATGCATACGTGTGTTGGGAGCAGGAAGGAGAGCTCCCAATTATATGTAAGAAAATAATGTGGGTAAAAAGTTATCTTGGTTAATCTTTATTAATCTAGAAAATGGTTTTCTGGAAAAAAGTAAAATTTACAGACATTTAAAATCATTGACTGTAGAACCACCCAGTTGTGTCAAGATAGGTATGACATTCTGGCTGAGATACTTCATCATTATTTTGATTTGTCTTTGAAGATGTTCCACCCAATAAAATTTCCATTTGGTCATTAAGTATGCAGTACGAGTTATTCTATGGAATGTTAAGGGATTTTCCATTACATAAAGAACGTGGAGACTTATTTAGTGTAAGACCAAAAAATGTCCAGCATAAAATAGTATGTAATATCTGCTGCTGGCTAAAGACTGAGAGAATTTTCCAGTAGCAGAAGGCATTGCCTCTCTAAATTCAAGCAGAGAAATGGTTACCATAGTGACTTATCTCTTAAAATAGTTGTGTGATGTTTTCTCTTTCTAAACAATGCTATGTATTATCTCCTTTTAAATAAAGAAAGCTGATAAGTTTAAATGCACACAGTCTGCTTTTCCTTAATTATGCAAAGGTTTCTAATTCAGGTGCCTGCATAAGAGAATGTCAGCCAAGAACGTGGAGTAGGCCCTTAACAGTTTTCTAGGGATACATTTTGCAAGCTCCAAATCTGAGAATACCATAATGACATACCGTTTCTCTGGAATTCTTATGTGCAGGAAGATAAGAGGAAAATAAAGCTATGTGTTTATATAGGTGCTGCTCCTTCATTGTTCCCCCTTCCTGTGGCAGCCTGGTGTCTTATTCTGGGGGATGAGCTTTGCACAGCTTTTGTCATTCACACTTGTGTCCCAGAAAAATTACAGTTTGCTTCATGACATAAATTTGTGGGGTGGAGAGAATTAAATCCAAGAATGCCCAGTGTGGACTAGATGGGGGATTCTGCAGAGTAGTCTTTAGAATGGGTCTGATCCCCATTCTGCAGATGTCAAGCATATTAAGATTTAAAAGTTTGACAAAGTCACAGAGAGATTCCATTTTTTAATCTTTATGGGGTAGTAGTTAGATCTGTGGACTGTGGAGCCTAGGTGCGTACCCCAGCGATGACGCGAACTAGCTGTATAGACTTTGATAAGGTCCTTAATATCTCTGTGAATCCATTTCTGTCCTTAAAATGGGAATTGTAATAACTTTACCTTATGAAGGGCTTTTGTGGGGATTAAATGAGTTAATACACAATGTACTCAATAAATATCAGCCGTGATTATAATGGTGAATTTTGCTCTGATTTTTTTTTTTTTTGGAATGATTATAAAGGATTTTATTTTTGCTCTGATTTTGAAAAATCCCAATGCCCTGGTGATAGTGTTATGAAAAAGTAGCTTGGGGAGCATTACATGCATTCAAGGTGTGTATAAAAGTGTATCTTTGGTACACATTCATTCATTGGTTAGTTGACATCAGAAGTATTTATTGAATATTAATTATCTGCTAGGCGTGGGAAATGCATCAGAGTCCCTGTACCCAGAGAGTTTGTAGTTTAGAAAGAAATGTAGACAAATAAATACAAGATTACAATTAATAAGCTAAGTTAGGGGAGCTACAGGGTGCTATGGTGGCACAATGATATAAGCACTAATACATTCTGAAGGAGGACTTATAGCCTTGCTACTCACAGTGTTTCAAGGACCAGTAGCATGAACATCATTTAGGAGATTGTAAGAAATGCAGAACCTCAGTCCTCAATCCAACTGAAACAGAATCTGCTTTTTAAAAAGATTCCTAGGTGATTCAAGGGGGAAAGGGGGGGTGGGAGGAATTGGGAGATTGGGATGGACATATATACACTATTGATACTATGTATAAAATAGATAACTAATGAGAACATACTGTATAGCACAGGAACTCTACTTAATGCACTGTGGTGACCAAAATAGGAAGGAAATCCAAAAAAGAGGAGATAAGAAAACCATAATTCAAAAAACACATTCACCACAATGTTCATTGCAGCACTATTTACAATAGCCAGGACATGGAAGCAACCTATGTGTCCAACAAAAGAGGAATGGGTAAAGAAGATGTGGTACATATATACAATGGAATATTACTCAGCCATAAAAAGGAATGAAATTGGGTCATTTGTAGAGATGTGGATGGACTTAGAGGGTGTCATACAGAGTGAAGTAAATCAGAAAGAGAAAAGCAA